GCCTCTTGACCTGGTGAGCGAAGCCCTTCACCAAACCCAGCTTGTCGGTGAATAAGTGTGAGAATTGTTTCTTCATGTCAGCAGGTAGCGGGTTCTCATCGGTTCGCGTGTGCAGACATTGCAAGGTTCTTCCTTCAATCTGAAGTTGTAAATTGCAGATTGCATCTAATCCGATGAGGGTCGTCCCCTTGGCCACCACGTAAAATAGTACGCAAGTCGAACGCTCCTTGTAGCGAACGTTGGCGAGGAATCGTACCTTCACTTCGATCTTGCATCCCGAATAGTCCAGCAGGTTGACAGACGGCGGTGCCAAAGCCAGTCGCTCGTGGAACCATTGCCGATAAATGTCATCGGTGATGATTGACACTGAAGAGCCTGTGTCTACCAGAAAGCGCAGACTCACTGTCTCCAATTCCAGATCGGCGTAGATGCCACGTTGTCCGCTGTCCGTTTTCACCTGAAGAAGCACGACGTCACAATTCGTAGTCTCGCTGATTTGTTTCACGTCCAGGTCCTGCGTCGTGGTGCTTTTACAAACCTTCTCGAAGTGCCCGGTCTTTTTGCATTTCCGGCACATAGCTCGTCGCGCTTTGCAGCTCACTGAACTTGAACTTGAACTCGTCTGCGCCAGAAGCCTCAAGAAACCTAAGGTACGTTTGTTCCCATTGCGGCCATGGAACGCGAGGCTGGCCTGGCGTTTGCAGAAACGGCAGCGGCGGCGTGAGCCCGAAGTTCATGGTGGCTTTTTATGGTTTTCTCCTCGTCGCCAATATTATGTTGCAGCCCTGGTCGCCGGCATAGCGACCGCGAAGAAGAGATGCGTACGCCGCGAGCTTCGAACCCAAAATCTCATCTTTTTCGCGATGTGGATGCTCTATATACAAAATGACAATGTTGCCGACACAACACTCATCCAGATCAAAACGGGCCGGGGTGGGGATTAAGCCAGGATTCCTGGGTTCTGCAGCGCGAGCTTTCGCTCCACGTGCTCCGAGCTGGTGTGCACTAGCCCACTCGGCCACCGATCCGCCTCCCTCACCGAAAGTCTGCAGCCTCGGAGCCCCGATTCCTTAGACCCGAGGAACACCACACGACGAACCTCCTGTCAAGAACCTTACGGGACCTTCAAGTCTGCGACTGAAACCATCGATATTCCAACGGTTAAACCAGCTGAACTACGAAATTAGGGAGAAAGGAGTAAAGACAGGTGATCGCTGGACTACCAACTATTTAATAAAGATTCTTCGTTTTCCTCTCTTTGTCTACTGGCGTTGTGGCTACCTTCTCTTCTTTCTACTTGATTTTTCTGTTCCATCTCGGATACTGGTTTTCCGGAGGAATCTTTTTTCGCTTTCCTGTAGCGCAATAGATGGTTTACTAACGCAATTTTCTTCTTTATCTTCTATGGCCAAGGCCTCAAGTATTTCACGGGCGAGCTGGTCTTTGTGGTGAGCTAGTATGGTACCCAGGTCGAGCTTGGCCTCGCACGTGCATGCTCGACAATGAGCGGCTAAATGCCCCGGCCCTGTTAGGGCTCTTATGTTTGCTGCGTGCTCACGTGCTCGATCGTTCACGCACCTTCCCGTTTGTCCAATATACACACGCCCACATGAGAGTGGTATGTTATACACTACTCCCCTAGATTAACCTTCCGGCACATGGCATATCCCTTGTTTGGCGCCGAGCACACTACTTTGACGCCCTGCCTTGTGGCGATCTTTTTCAATCTATGTGTGACTCCATGAATATACGGAACCACCGCGAAAGGTGACCTAGGAACCTTTTTTTGTGTGTTAGAGTCATTCTTTTGGCTGGATTTCTTGATGTTTTGGCAGAGTTTTTCACAGATGGAGGCTAAGAAGGGTCTCGGATACCCGGCCTCATGTAGTCTGGAGATTTGGGTCTTGAAGCTTCGTCCCATCTGATGTGAACATGTTTTTCTGAGGCTAGCTGTGAGAGCTGTGGTGGCGACCCCTTGCTTTACATTTTTCGAATGTTCTGAGTCAAAGGGAAGGAACCCTTTCCCCGATCGCGTTTCGTATCTCCAACAAACGTGTTCCTTTTGGAAGTCTAAGGCCAAATCCAGAAACCTTATAGACTTATCAGCGGGAAGCTCGTATGAAAAGGTGAGGCCCATGCAATTTGTTTGAAAATCCCTAAGAGTGGTGTTAAGGCATCCGTCTGATGTTTCATCAACTGGGAATCTCCAGACTCCATGAGGCCGGGTATCCGAGACCCTTCTTAGCCTCCATCTGTGAAAAACTCTGCCAAAACATCAAGAAATCCAGCCAAAAGAATGACTCTAACACACAAAAAAAGGTTCCTAGGTCACCTTTCGCGGTGGTTCCGTATATTCATGGAGTCACACATAGATTGAAAAAGATCGCCACAAGGCAGGGCGTCAAAGTAGTGTGCTCGGCGCCAAACAAGGGATATGCCATGTGCCGGAAGGTTAATCTAGGGGAGGCCAACAACACCGGCACTTGCAACACCAAACATAAGAATAAGTACGTCCAATGCGAAAAGGGAGTAGTGTATAACATACCACTCTCATGTGGGCGTGTGTATATTGGACAAACGGGAAGGTGCGTGAACGATCGAGCACGTGAGCACGCAGCAAACATAAGAGCCCTAACAGGGCCGGGGCATTTAGCCGCTCATTGTCGAGCATGCACGTGCGAGGCCAAGCTCGACCTGGGTACCATACTAGCTCACCACAAAGACCAGCTCGCCCGTGAAATACTTGAGGCCTTGGCCATAGAAGATAAAGAAGAAAATTGCGTTAGTAAACCATCTATTGCGCTACAGGAAAGCGAAAAAAGATTCCTCCGGAAAACCAGTATCCGAGATGGAACAGAAAAATCAAGTAGAAAGAAGAGAAGGTAGCCACAACGCCAGTAGACAAAGAGAGGAAAACGAAGAATCTTTATTAAATAGTTGGTAGTCCAGCGATCACCTGTCTTTACTCCTTTCTCCCTAATTTCGTAGTTCAGCTGGTTTAACCGTTGTAATATGTACCACCAACTAGCTCAGCTTCTACCCCCTGTTAGTCATCGATATTCGACGGTACAGCTCCTTGGGCGCCTTACATATCACAGTTCAACATCATCGCTGACGCTAACAATTGGTCTACGGCTCAAAAGACGCAAACCTTGGCTGCCCAACTAACTGGGTTAGCGCTGACAGTGCTGCATTACTTACCATCTGATACTCGCCATTCCTACGAGGCCTTGGACGCAGCACTAAACGAACGCTATGGGGAAGGACCTCTCCGCTTCCTTCATCGTGCGCGACTTCGCAACCGCCGTCAGGCTGCACCAAGACGATCTCCCAAGTCGCCAATGACAATGAGCGCCTTGTCCACCTTGCGTTGCCCGGTGGCACGGAGGACACGGTTGAAACTGTGGCAACTATGGCATTCATCGACGCATTCTAATCTGTTGACGTGCAAGACGCCGTTCGCCTAGCACACTCGAAGTCACTGCGGGCAGCCCACACCTGTGCATCAGAGGTAGAAGCTGCTCGGCAGGCATCCCGATCTACGTTTCTACGACCCTCCACGCAGCCCCAGACTACGGCAATAAGGACGCAGGTGCCTCTAGCTTCCGTTTGCTGGAATTGCCATCAGGAGGGACACACGTGGGCACAGTGCCCTAACTATGGCTCTGGCAACCGGCCCCCAACAACGGCGACTCCGCGAAGAATCACGTCAACTCGTGTACCGGCACCGCCTCTTACTTCTATCTACGTACAAGGCGACGTCGACGGGGTGCCAGTGCGCCCACTCCTTGATGTCGGAGCTACAGTCTCCGTAATCAGGCCGGAAGTTTTGACGAAGGCGAACTGAGCTGTTCCACAAAACCCTGAAAGCTACAGTCTGCAAACCACAACAAGGGACATATATGGTGACTGTCCTCGGCTCCGCAACTATGCCTTTCAGGCTGGGAAGACTTCACGCTCCTCTGCCTGTTGTCGTCACGGCTGTCGAGGAACGGTGCATCTGGGCGTCGAGTTTTTCTAAGCACACAAGTGCGTGCTCGTTTTCACCGCTGGGCTACTGCATCTGACCACCGACTTGTTTTCTCTAGGTGCCGCTACGGGAACGTTTTTTTACGACAGTGGGGTGTCAATTAATACCACATCCCCGTATATCTGTCTTAACGCATACTTTATCAAATGAACCACGCGCGTATTACCACTCTGCGAAGGCGCGTCCGCTGACCTGGATAAACTCGACGCTGAGAGGTCTTTTCAGCTACTTCAAAGGTTCTCAAGCCTTTTTAGCAAGGGAGACGCAAATACGGGGCTGATATTGGTAGTGTGATAGACAGCCAGGTGGCACCCCCTGCACACCTGGTATATAAAGAGCATGTCGCACGAGATTAAAACAGATGAACACTGGGCAAGCTTGCGTGCACTCGTCAGTGCCCCGCTGTCCCGGGAACTCGCCGAACATTACAGTGGCGACGAGGAAGTGGAAGTGTTGAACTGCTGCCGTCGGACCGTGCGCCTGTTCTGGAATGCCGGTGGTCGGCAAATTAGAGCCGTTTGACACTGAAACGAACTGGAGCGAGTACAGGGAGCGGGTTGAACAGTACTTCATCGCCAAAGATGTCAGGGATGAGAAAAGGCGAGCTGTTTTACTTACGTGTTTTGGACCCGCCAGATATTCGCTGCTTCGAAATCTTCTGGCTCCTGTCAAACCGTCGGAGGCCAGCCTAGAAACCATTTTCGAGGTATCAGGCGAGCATTTCTCACCGAAGCCTTCGGAAGTCGTCGCAAGCTTTAAGTTCAATTCACGGATGTGTCATGACGGTGAGACAGCGGCGGATTTCTTTGCTTGTCTGAACAAGCTGGCGGATGATTGCGGATTCGGCGCGTTCTGAAATAGAATGCTGCGAGACCGCATCGTCGGAGGTATTAACGACGAGATGATACAAAGGCGACTCCTAGAGATTCCAGATTTGACCCTTGACCTCGCAAAAAAGATGGTCGTTGCAATGGAAGACGCGAAGAAAGATTCGCAGATGCTATCGACGTCTATCCAGCCAAACCTCGCGTCAGCTAACACAGTGTCACGCGATGCAGCTGTGAACCCGAAGCGGAAGACTGGCACCATCTCGTGTTTTCGTTGCGGAGGCGAGCATTACGCCACACAGTGCCGTCATGCAAGTACCACTTGTCACAAGTGTCGGGGAAAGGGGCATCTGGCACGAGTGTGCAAGGGGAAGACAGCGGATGCGACCGCCGGCGGCCCGACGACGTCCACTAGAATACCGAGATCGGTACACACCTTGGACGAAGCGGGCCAGTCGCAAGATGTCTCACTGCCAGAAGTCTATGAGATGTGGGAAATGACATCTTCTGCAGTCGACGGCCAACCTTTCCGAGTGGAAGTTACGGTGAACGGGACTCCATTGCTGATGGAACTTGACACGGGAGCTGGCGTGTCTGTTGTGTCTGAGGAGACATTTCGACGCGAATTTCCATCAAGGCAGCTGGACCCGTCGCGCATCATGCTGAAAAGCTATTCAGGTGAACTTTCCCCAGTTCAGGGAAGCCTTACTGCAACGGTGAGACTTGGAAACCGCGAATGTCAGGACATCCTGTATGTTGTCCCTAGCACCTGCCCATCTCTGCTAGGACGTGGTTAGATGAAAGGCCTTGGCATCAAGCTTTCCAACGCGAAGGATGTCAACTTTGTGACTTCTGTAGCGAACCTCGTTGCTGAATACTCCAGTATCTTTGATGAAGGTCTAGAAACTTTCAAGGGGGTGGCCGCAAAGATAAATCTTCAGGACAACGCCAAACCAAGGTTTTTCAAGCCTCGTTCAGTTCCATTTGCGATGCTTGACAAAGTCAACGAGGAGTTGCAACGCATGGAACGGGAGGGAGTCCTACGTCCAGTGAAGACTTCGGAATGGGCTGCCCCTATTGTACCGGTCCTGAAACAAAGTGGGCAGATTCGCATCTGTGGAGACTTCGAAGTCACTGTGAATCCTGTGACTGTACCTGAAAAGTACCCGATCCCGCGAGTGGAGGACCTGTTTGCTAAGCTGAGCGGAGGCGAGGAATGCAGCAAGTTGGACTTAAAAGATGCATACCTACAAGTTAAACTTGATGAGAAGTCGTCACAGCTGGTTACCATCAACACTCCACGAGGTCTGTACCAGTACACTCGCCTGCCGTTCGGTGTGACCTTTGCACCATCGATCTTTCAACGAGAGATGGAGAACCTATTGCAAGAACTTAAGCACGTCGTTGTATATTTCGACGACATTCTCGTGACAGGGCGAAACGATCAAGACCACCTGGAAAACCTGGGCCAAGTGCTGAGTCGGCTGCAGCAAGCTGGGCTGAAGCTGAAGCTGTGCAAGTGCGATTTCTTGGTTCCCCAGGTTAAATACTTGGGTCATGTCGTTAGCTCTGCGGGATTCCAACCAAACCCAGAAAAGACTGGCGCAGTACTGAAAGCTCCAAGGCCTACCGATGTAAAAACGCTGCAGTGCTACCTGGGACTGGTCAATTTCTATCGTCGGTTCCTGCCTAACTTGTCCAGCGTTCTACATCCGTTAAACCATCTTCTGGGGGCAAAGACGCCTTGGACTTGGGGTGCGGACCAGGAGCAGGCTTTTCGTCAGAGCAAGGAGTTACTGCTGTCTGCCGCGGTATTGGCGCATTATGACCCGAAGAAAGCAGTGGTGCTTATCTGCGATGCGTCACCGTACGGAATTGGGGCTGTCCTTGCTCACCGAGAAGATTCAGGTGCTGAGAAACCAATTGCGTTTGCATCTAGAGGTCTTCTGCCGGCTGAGCGCAACTGCAGTCAGCTTGACAAGGAAGCCCTGGCTCTGATATTTGGTGTGACTAAGTTTCGGCAATACCTGTGGGGCCGTGACTTCGAAGCGGTCACAGACCACAAGCCCTTGCTGGGGCTGCTTGCTGCGGACAAGCCTGTACCTGAGACCTGTTCGCCACGTGTGCTGCGTTGGGCACTGATGCTGTCGGCTTATAGCTACAAACTCAAGTACAGACCTGGTTCACACATAGCAAATGCGGATGTCTTGAGTAGGCTGCCGCTGCCAGTTCCTCCATGTTCCATCGAGCGGCCAGCCGAGGTATTCATGCTCGAGGGGGCCTATCCTCGCGTACTACTTGCGTCTGTCGTGGCCGACGCCACTTCAAAAGACTTGATTTTGGCGAAGCTTCGAGATCATTTGTGGTCTGGAGCTGAGCTGCATGACCCAGACTTAAAACCGTACGCTCCTCGAACAACTCAGCTGTGCGTACAAGAGAACTGTATCCTGTTGGGGTCAAGAGTCGTCATCCCAGGATCCTTACAACCAGAGGTTCTACGACTCTTGCATAAAGGTCATCCAGGGATCGCCAAAATGAAGGCCGTGGCTAGGAGCCATGTATGGTGGACATCATTAGATGAAGACATTGCGGCTACAGTGCGGGGATGTCGTGTGTGTCAAGAAAACCAGCGACTCGCACGACCCGCACCAATGATGCCATGGCCATTCCCAGAAAAGCCATGGTCTCGTCTTCATATCGACTTTGCTGGACCAATGATGAACCGATATCTACTCTTCGTGGTCGACGCCTACTCAAAATGGATTGAGGTCGTTCCTGTGTCCACGCCGTCGGCAGAAGCCACGATCCCTTGCCTGCGGGTGATGTTTGCCTGTCACGGACTACCAGACCTCGTCGTATCCGATAACGGGCCGGCATTTATAAGCGGTAGCTTTAAGAAATTCCTTCAACAAAAGGGAATAAGGCAGATTCTAACACCCCCGTATCACCCAGCGTCAAATGGAGCCGCTTTGCGAGCGGTTCAAACCATAAAGTTGAAGCTGAAGAAGGCAGCTGATGGAAGTTTTCAGTATTAGCTGGCCCGAATCCTGCTCAACTACAGAACTACACCTCATGAAACCACAGGGTGCACTCCGGCCGAGTTACTGATGGGCCGCAAGTTGAAGACTGCTTTGGCTCTACTTCACCCGGACCTGAGGTCAAGCGTATCGAAAAAACAACTCATCCAGAAGATGGCGCACGACAGGGGTGCTCGACTGATACCAACTGTCCAACCGGGTGATGCCGTTTATGCGAGAAATTTTCGACAAGGTCCACCATGGGTACCGGCAACTGTGACCGACACTCCAAGTGACCACATCACAGATGTCGCACTCCCAGATGGTCGGTGTTGGAGACGTCATGAAGGACATCTGCGTCCTGACCTATCCCAAGCTAGGGCATCATCGGGTCCGCGACCAGAGCCGGTGGATCAGGCCGCTCCTCCTAATGAGAATGTGCCTGTACCACTAGAGGATTCTGCCCAAGCGGTACCTCAAACCGTAACAGCTGAATACCAGCATGACGATACTCAGCCTGTTCCTGGCATTCCGCTACCAAGGAGTCCTGGTACTCCACTACCGAGAAGAAGTAATCGAGCACGAAAGCCTCCTGTGCGCTTTTCGCCGTGAAAATCGGTGGGACCTTGGCTCATTTTTGTTAGGGGGGGAAGGAATGTGATAGACAGCCAGGTGGCGCCCCCTGCACACCTGGTATATAAAGAGCATGTCGCACGAGATTAAAACAGATGAACACTGGGCAAGCTTGCGTGCACTCGTCAATGCCCCGCTGTCCCGGGAACTCGCCGAACATTACAGGTAGCTACACATCGAATCGTGACAAGGGAAGCTTCCCCCGTTCGAATATCTCCTCGACGTACTCCCCTTGCACAGAGGTCACACGTCGATGACATGGTGAAGACAATGCTGCAACAGGGCTACAACAGGCGTTACGAAACAATTCTCAATTTGGATGCGTTTCTATGTTTCGGTTTTTTGTCGGAGCGCATCTCCGTGCCAGCAATCCCGCCCATTGATCTCCGCTAGGGGGCTGGATGGTGCATTGAGCAAGCAGGTAGGAAACCATCGGAAGTACAGTGAACTAGAATGTAGGGGCCGTGGAAAAAGCGTCGGCGGCGCCCCATCGGCCGTGTGAAGCCAGAAGAGTAGACTGCCGCGAATGGCGCTGTTATTAAAATACGGAGAGCATGGCTACTGTAACATGGGATATGGCGTCGCGTACGTTCTCAGGTGGTTTCTCTGGAGTCTACGGTCGTTTTCGCAATTTGTTTTCGTGAATGTCAAGTGCTTTGCATTTTGATTACATAGGTTCGAGTCTTGCCGCTAAGCAATATAAACGAAGAGAAAAAAGATGAATGCGCACCGCTACGCGCCAGCATGCAAGACTGGTTACCCCTTTTTTCACTACATTGTCCAAGTAAGCTTTAAACATAAATTCATAGACCTTGAAACACCCATAAAGCCTACATAGGCCACACTAATGAACCGCTAAGATAAAAAACAGCTACGCTTGGCGCGAACTTCGTTGGCAGGAGTGCTCCGAAATCGAACACCAGCGCTATCTGGTGGGTTCTACACGCAGCGCCTCACCTGGAGGCCGGCTATTTTTCCCTACTCCTATCGTAGTTAACTGTATCGTGCGCAACTGTTGTCTCTGCACTAGAACTGATGGAGTCGGGCCATGTTGCACAGAAAGCTCACGCATCAAGAAAATTACTTCTTTCTCAAAGCGACACGACTTGGGTCATATAACTTTAAACGAGTAGTATCAAATGCAACACATTTGTTCATTCCCCAATGTTTGAGGAGGCTTAAGCATCGATGCATAAATGTCACGTATTGCGCTTTCCTTTTATGAATTTTGTTAAATTCATGATTGAACTTGACAGTTTGGGACAATGAAAAACTATGTCCTTATATTTTTATTAAATAATAATAAATTAATCTTTATGCAGGAAGACGCCAGATGGCTAATGAAAAAATTTGGGAGACAGACTTGTTAGCCAGGCAAATAAAAATGCGACAATTAGTCATATATGAATCTTTTATAATAGTTATTAATAAAAAAATCCGCAAGCGCGAATATGACCATATTCACATACAAACATCCTGTTATTAAATATCATTTGCATTAAGTTGAAACTATAATGGCTCAGAAATGTATGGTGGTGGTGGTGGTAAAAACTTTAATTCAGTATGTTCAGTGATGACGCCCCCCGGGTCAGGTCCCCAAGTCCAAGGCACCGCAGGCCACCGCTACCCGTCTAGCCTGTTCGAGCAGCGCTCGCTGCCGCTCGGGGCGTGAGCTGAGTAGAGCGGCCTCCCAGGAGGTTGTAGTGGGGTTAGGAACGGGCATGACTCTTACCCCGACAGGGGAAGGACATGCCCAAGTGCAGTGGTAGAGGGAGGGTTCAGGGGATTTACAGCCCGGGCATACACTCCGGTACCTGTCAGGAAAGAATCGATGAAGGTGAAGGAGGTTAGGGAAAGAGTGAGTCTGAAGTTTTCTCCATTCGGAGGCCTCTTGCCTGTTAAGGTCCTTGTGGGGTGGGGGTACTTTTTGCGCTGCGAGCGGTAGTACTCGGTGACATGATTGAAGGTTTCTAGGTGCGGTGTCTGTGTTTCGCGTTCCTGCTCGTCCTCGCGGGTAGTGTTGTCCCCAACTGTCGTCCCTTCCCTATGCAAAGCCCGGATAGTTAATCCGCGGGCTAGGGCGTCACGCTCCCGTTGCCGGGGATGGAGGCATGGCCGGGTGTCCAGACTATCCGGACCAGAGGCAG